ATAACCGTTTATTTTCTTTATTATCATTTATAAATTATCTCTAGAAAAATTCATTAAATTTAAAGACCATTTAATCATTCATACGAATAAAAAAATTTATGGCTTATCATGAAAACGTAATTTGTCCGACACAACGATTAAGTAAACAACCTTCAAATTGAATAATCTTTTATAAGTATGATTACTAAATGATGTTAAAGAGAATGAATAGACTATATAATACAAATAAAATTTATGTGGGATATTAGAGGATCTCTTAATTTCATATTTCTAGCATGGCCATTAGGTTGTGGCCCTTGTGGGTGGAGATGAACAGAACTGAAAATTTTGAAAAGTAAACTGAATAATGCTGGATGAAAAATGATTCCAAATGGCAAATGCACAAGTTGGAGAGATAGGCATAAGCGAGTACGCCAAATTATATACAATCATGTAGGAGAATCTTGAAAAAAGCAATAATGGGGCATTTTGATATAGACGCCTCGTTTTTTAATTTTTTAGACTAAACATACACTTCTTTTGAAAATTTGATCAAACATTTTCCTAAAATTTTGGTTATTAATTTCAATTCCTATTATCCCTATATTTATGCATTTATTATTCATCTCCTGGGCATTTCGTTTTCTTTTTTTTTCTTTTCCTATTATCCCTATATTTATGCATTTATTATCCATCTCTATGCATTTTTTTTATTGTTTGTTATAATATTTAATTTTTTTTGTGAATATAGTAGAATATTTATAAAAAAAATTGTCAAATTTTATTATTTAGAAGACCCAACACATAGTAAAGATTTGTTTGATTATATAGCTACGTCTAGTTACCTATAATATGGACACATTTAGTTTTATAGTGGATTTGATTTTTTGTATTTCTTGGTACATTTGGAATGTAAATGTACCAAAAGGGTTATCTGATAGAGACATTTGGTTTTGTGGTACATTTGAGATTTTTTGTTCATTTGGTCTTTTGGTACAATAGGAATCTAAACGTACCAATAGGATTACCTGACAATGGGCACATTTGGTTTTATGGTACATTTGAAATTTTGGTACATTTGGTTTCTCTGTATATTTGAAATCTAAACGTACCAAAAAGGTTACATAACAATGGGTACATTTGGTTTTATGGTACGTTTGAATTTTTGGTACATTAGGTTTCTCGGTACATTTGAAATCTAAACGTACCAACAGTTGATACTTTTGTTCTCAAATGTACCCTAAGTTTTAAGTATATTTTTTATATATCTATACATGAAAAAAATATGTATTGAAGACTTTTTATTGATACAATTTTATTAGAAAGAGTTTTTTTTTTTTAAATACTGATAATAAGGAAATGAGGAATTAGTTAATTAATTTTTTATTTTATTTTATTAAAAAATGTCATTTAATGCGCAGAAGGAGATTGAGGAAATTAAATTCCTATATTATAGGCAATTAGTTGCTAAGCTACCTTATGCCTCTATATAAATGCATTTAAATTAATGACATGAAAATTAAATAAATAGAAAATTATTGAGGTGGCAATTGATTGAAACACCTTAATCAAATCTTTAAAAGGGATGAATGTTTAATCTAACAACTATAGAAAATATGTAGGGGATTAACAATTGGGGAATTAGACATTAGCAGGCCTTTAAGGAAAGGAATTCCCATTTTTCAAAAAAAATGGGGACACCTTCTGGACCGTTTGATCTTGCTTTAATGAAATTCTATGGTTGAAATTAAATCACAGGCCACAGAATCTCAACCACATAATTTCATTAAAGTCAGATCTAACGGTCAAGACAGTGTCCCCATTTAAAAAAAAAAAAAATTGGGGATCCCTTCCTTTAAAGGCTTCCTAGACATTAGTATCTGTGTTGTTCTTAGATATGATAAAAAGTTGAGAACCATATGCGTACACACATAAAAAATTATTAAAATCAAAATGTCAATGTTTTAGCATTCAAAACAGCTTCAAATCACGTCCCCAATAAAAGATAAAAAAAAAAAAAAACTTTATACTTTCATGATGGAAAAAATTGAAGGAAGTAGAGGTATTACTTCAAAATCAATTGGCATGATGGATAAAGTCCTTCCAAGCCATTTGGAAAAAGAAAGAAAAAAGGGGACAATCAAATGATGTCATAAGATTTTAGCTCTTAGATAACATAAAGAATATGTTCATGAACAAAATCAGTGACATGAGGTTCCATTATAAAACCAATTGATAATATAAGAGTATAGCCCAACTCTTTATAAACTCTTGCATGATTTGGTCCCTCACTGATGTGAAACTTTCTCCTCGCATTCTTACAGGTTGAAGGGAATAACTTCAATTTTCTTCACATTCTTAGGCGCGGGTGCTCACATGTATGGTATCGAGTATGAGAAACTTATCTTGAAGTGCATATTTATTTATCCTTTTTGTTATATTTACTTTTCATATCTTTTTAATGGATACATTTTTTGTGTCATAGATTAAATGGAATAGAAATGATTTAGTGGTAAGAGTCATAGAAACAAATATTTCTTTCATATTTTAGTTGATATATTTGTGTGTACAATATTTATTTTGTGGTAAGTGTTAATATATTTCTAGTTATCAAACATATTATCAAGGGAATCCAACTTATTATTTATGAGTACATGGATCGACGAATCAAGTGATAAGATAGAAATAGAGGTCGGTCGAGAAGTTGGATTATCTCTTATAATTAGTAGTAGTCATTAACTTTTTTTGAGGATATAGTAGTTTTTTTTTTCTTCTGAATAAACGATATTATCTACATTAAGAGAAAAAATGTAGTAGTTATTAACAAAATGGCAGACTACAAACTTGGAGAAACAACCAAATAATATATGTAGAGGTACAGGATATATATATCATCTTGACAATCAAATAATGCAAAATAATGCAATAGCAGGAGAACAGGAGTACTGTTGGGAGGATTGTCGGGTTATGGATGATCATATATGAATCAACTTAACATTGATTTTCTTGGACCTAGAGATCTTTGCCAGGGAACCCATGATTTGGATTAAGTGTCTAAACTCCACACATGCAATATACCTGTATATGTATAACAGTATATATATGTATATATGTCTTTGTGCGTGTGTGTATAGGAATTGCTTAAGGGGAGGGATCCCCATTTTTTCAAAAAAATGGGGACACGCTCTCCACCGTTGGATTTGAATTAAATGAAATCCTGTGGTTGAGATTCTATGGCCTGTGTTTTAATCTCAATCACACAATTTCATTAAAGTCAATTTAACGGTGGGGAGCGTGTCCCCATTTTTTTTGAAAAAATGGGGATCCCTCCCCTTAAGCTCCCTGGTGTGTATATATATTAACTTTATAGCAAGTATTCTGTTCGTAAAGCGAGACATGTTATTACTCACATATATACCACACATATACATTACATATTTTTATCCATGTGTGTAACTCAAAATGTGAAATCATATAGGTGATATAAGATGAATATACGTGTTATATATGGGCAATAATTTATCCCGTTCCATGAACATGAACAGTAGAGCAGATCCCCTTCAAAAGGAGTAACTATATATATTTGTAGTTGTACAGAAACACTCCAGTGCGGGTGGAGGTATAGTGCAGTAGTTTGAAAATTACACTCAATAGCACTGCCACGGAAAGAGGAGAGAGAGAGAGAGGGAGGGACTGTTGGAGGCCATGCCAATGGAGGATGCTCTTCCATTCAAATACAGGAATGAGGATTCTTTCCTGATCCTCTTTGTAAGGATTTCGGGAATTCTTCAATTACGTCTATTTATCGTATATTGTGCGGTTAATTTTCATCAGATAATGTTTATATTCAATTTTAAATACAATTTTTTTTTTAAATTTATGACTGTACAATGTACGATAAACGAACGTGATTAGATGAGATTCTCACAAAAAGAATTTGAAGAGTATCGTCCTCGTGGCAAATACAGCAACAAATCTGACAAACTTTGCTTCATATCAGATGGAGACAATTCTTCTGTCTAATCATATGCATATGTACTTTTCCTTTTTTGGGTCTGATGGAAACAATATATTTACAGCTCCTGCAGTTTCATGAGTTTAATCGTACTTGGTTTTCCTCGGGAATGGAACAGAAATATTTTGTCATTTCTCCTGTAGGCCATGCACATATTCTTGTGCTCTTGTTTGCACGCGTCCAGACACTTCTCACATTGCATATATGTTACTGTATCAAATCGTAGTCGGCACAAGCGTTTATAAATGTTAAAAAAAAAGGTGTAGAGCGATACAACTTGACGAGCGCGCCCTGTACCTGTTTCCACTCGTTGGAAGCATATGAATATTTTAATAATTTTACATACTTGTCTCAGACTTATTATAAAATTAATACGCAATTTGAATAGGTGTACAATTTCTAACAAGTCCTTGCAAAGTTTGGTTATTCTCTTATGTGAGACTTTACCCTTCACATCTCACAGTTCCGACAACTACTATTACTAACTTTTGAATCTTGAAAATACAAATAATTTTCGATAGTGCATGATTATAAGATTATAGTTGGATTTATTTGGTCTTATTGATTGTTGTTCGGTGTTTCACCTTTAAAATAAAATTTCAAAATCCATTCTCATCAAAAGTATTTCTTAATGGGTAAAACACGTCGAGTAGCGTAACCCGTTATTTTAACTAGTCGAATTCGGGTTTGAACAACCGATTGATGCAATGCGACTTGTTAAGATAAGGAGTGAAGACGAATACAACAAACACGAGTCATTTCACATCGACTTCCATGTATGCACTCAAAAAGTGTGTGAATAAACCCAAAGTTTGGGCCTAAAAGCTAAACTTAACCGGTTACAACAGAAAAACTGAATTCTGGGCTCCAAAACAGAGCCCAAGTTCGACCCAACCCAGTAAACAAGCACCCATGATAGACCCCACGAACAAAAATTTGCTAGTACAAAAAAAAAAAAAAAAAACCAAAAATCCCCCACCATCGAAATTCAGTCTGACCAGTTACCACCACCCAGAAACACCAAAACATGGCTCTACGCATGTTCGTACAGTTCCCGGTTAGCTCACCCTTCCCGCCACCCACAATATCCGGTAGCCTAAACTCACCTGTACGGTTGAAACCGCCATGTGCCGGTGGCCACTCAATCCCCCTATCCCAACCCAGACGGCCCCTAACACAGAAGAACAGAAGACAATCATTTCTCAGAGCTGTCGACGAAAGCCAGACGAATTCAGAGTCGGGCGCGGAATCGGTGAGAACCTGTTTGGACCCGATTTTACATTACCGGCCCAAGTAATTGAGGCTGTTGGATGAGCGGATTCTAGACTATTGAATTTTAATATTTTTCTAGGTATTAATACTGAATTTGGGCGATCTCCAAGAAATCAAGAGTTTAAAACGGAAGAGTCCAGCTTGAGATTGAGATTGGTATCATGCATGTACGTGAAGGATTGGAAGACTATCTCCCATGCATTTATGCAAATATAATGGAGATAAAGATGAGATTAGATTATCATTAGCCAATAAAGGTGCTTGGATAAAGGTGCTGTTTATTTTGAACTCAGGCACGGGAAAATATGGGATAAAAGATGGCATATGCCATTTTATCCCATGTGATCTTACCTGATGACTCGGTAATTGTTGATTGGGATAAAGATGGCTGTGGCTTATCATCAGAGATGGTGGGATGTCCACGACTTTAATTCTCCAGCACGGCTAAGAGTTTTGATGCTATAAATACGAGAGCGCAAGCAACATCAGGGACCCCTGCAAATCAATACAAAATTGCCCTGCGCAAATTCTCACAACTTGTGATTTTTCTTTTTTCCTTTTTCGTTGACACATCTTCCGTTGGCATCAACAGCACTGTGAAAGCAACCGGTGATATCTTAAGTCGGCATAGATAGCTCTGTCACCGTAGAGTCAGTCGGTCTCGCAGTATCTTCCGTTGGCATCAACAGCACTGCGGCGAGAACGATTGATTACCTATCCAAGTCTCGGTCGAGAAGGGTTTCTAAATCCTTGTTGGTCGAGGTCATCTCATCAGCCTTCTCGGCGAAGTGAGGTGTTACAGTTATTACATTCGGCACATGGAAAGCCGAATTTGATATTGAACTTCGTAAGAATAGTAACCTTGTCTTCAGGTTCGAGAGCCCAAGAGGCCGAGACGTGTTCCTTTCTCGGCCGCAATCGCAAGACGCAGAAGTCAGTAGCGCGACCCAACGCAACATCAACAAATTTACTCCTCGGCCGAGCTCGGCCGACGAGTTGGCACGCCCCGCAATCACCGAAGGACGTAGTTAGCTTATAGATTACTCGGCCTGCGCGCCACGTAGGCTTTGTAGTTGCTAGGGTCAACATTTTGGCACGCCCAGTGGGACCCAGTGCTAATACTACGAAGTTCATATGATATATCAAGATTCCAATCTGGCTCAACGTAGCCGATTGTACGAGCTCCTAGAGGAATTGAAAAAACACAATGAGGAATGTAAAAGATCTTTGGAAGTGGAAAAAGTTCTTCGTGGCCATGGAGAGATGCAAAAGTCATTCGCTTGCATGTTGAGAATAAAAGCTCCTGTTACCCTGCAAGAGCAATGGGTAAATGAAGACAGAGCTCGATTTAATGCCTGGCTAGATAAAGAAAATTTTCCTTACGTTTCTGATTACAGATCAATTCCATTTGAAAAATGGTTAGGTCCAAAGGCCGGGGGGCAATTTTCCGCTCCGGCCGTAATCAGACATCGGCCTAAGAAAATTGTTAATTTGGCCAAAGAACAAAGGCCACCTATTTTTTCGGTCTAGGCTGAAAATATGGTCGGCCAAGAAGACAAACCTAGGCCACCTATTTTTTCGGTCGAGACTGAAAGTGTGGTAGGCCTAGATGGAAAAATTCAAGTTTTTGAGCCACAAATCGACTCAGAAAAATAATTTGTCAAAAGAATGCTCCAATGACGAACGAGGCCGAGATATTGGCCTAGCCCAAGAAACTACGCCAATTGATATGATTATTGGCGATAAAGTCGATATGAAGAAATCTCATTCGGCCAAGTTATTTGAATTAAAAGCCGAAATTATGCCTAGGGGGCATAATAATTTTTTAACACATTCGGCGACCGATAAAAAATATTCCTTCAAGCCGAACGTATTTGGAGATGATCTTTTATTCGGCTTTGGAAAATGTCAAAATGAAAATTTTGATGTAAAAAGATCTCGGCTTGGAATAAAACATTGTTGGCCTCCTCCTCTTGATAGCTCGGCCACTTTTGTTTTCTTTTATTAAGAAAAGGAATAAATTATTTTCTTAATCATCTGGCTAATTAAGCCGATGCATAAGAAAATAAGGGGGCCAACGGAATAAAAAAAAAATGTATCGATGCATAGAGGGTCTGTGGTAGTTGAATGATTGATCAAGACCACATGGTTTCGTGGTGTTGTTGCACTGTACAGCCAAGCCCCAGGAATAATTTGTAGATGGCCGAGTAAAATAGGTTTTTATATATAGGCAGACCGATGTCTTATTTTTTTATTTTTTGGTATCGGTCTCGACCTCGGCCACTCTACAAAGGCCTCGGCCTCGACCACCTCATATATAAGCCTTGGCATATATATATATATATAAAGGAAATGGGAGATGCTCTCGGCCAAAACTATATATATAAAGGAAATGGGGGGTTGTTTTTAATGAAGGCATTAGAAACTCGGTGGACCTCAATTTGAAGGAATAAGTTTGACTTTCAACGGCCATGTGGGGCCGACATCATCATTTCATGGGATATATATATATATATATATATGTATATATATAGTTGAGGAGAGAAGCAGGAATGAAGAGTGAAGGTGATTCACGGATTCGGTCAAAGAATATGGTTGTGGCCATGGGGTGCTATTCTTCAGCAAATTATTTATTCAGCCGAGATGACTGATTTAGCAGAGATGAAGTCGAGCATTTTATGTTCACACTTGCTCGGCTGTTAGGCTGCCGAGTAGTGTATAAAAAAAAGAATGGCTTTTCGACAATTGTTCTTCATTGATAAGTTGGTGTATAGTCTTTCGGCTGGTGTATTCGGCTAGAAAGACAGGAAAGGTAACAACTTTGATAGGTGACAGGCCGAGCTGCCAGGAATGGTTTGCCTCGGCCCCTATTTTTCTCGACTCTCCAAAAGTTTTTCGACCTCGGCAGTCGAGAACTACGACAGGTTTTTATTGGCTGTGAACAATTAATTTCCTTAAACCTTCAGCTTACGGGCCGAAGATCAAGGAAACTGGGGGGCAATGTTTGGACCCGATTTTACATTACCGGCCCAAGTAATTGAGGCCGTTGGATGAGCGGATTCTAGACTATTGAATTTTAATATTTTTCTAGGTATTAATACTGAATTTGGGCGATCTCCAAGAAATCAAGAGTTTAAAACGGAAGAGCCCAGCTTGAGATTGAGATTGGTATCATGCATGTACGTGAAGGATTGGAAGACTATCTCCCATGCATTTATGCAAATATAATGGAGATAAAGATGGGATTAGATTATCATTAGCCAATAAAGGTGCTTGGATAAAGGTGCTGTTTATTTTGAACTCAGGCACGGGAAAATATGGGATAAAAGATGGCATATGCCATTTTATCCCATGTGATCTTACCTGATGACTCGGTAATTGTTGATTGGGATAAAGATGGCTGTGGCTTATCATCAGAGATGGTGGGATGTCCACGACTTTAATTCTCCAGCACGACTAAGAGTTTTGATGCTATAAATACGAGAGCGCAAGCAACATCAGGGACCCCTGCAAATCAATACAAAATTGCCCTGCGCAAATTCTCACAACTTGTGATTTTTCTTTTTTCCTTTTTCGCTGACACATCTTCCGTTGGCATCAACAGCACTGTGAAAGCAACCGGTGATATCTTAAGTCGGCATAGATAGCTCTGTCACCGTAGAGTCAGTCGGTCTCGCAGTATCTTCCGTTGGCATCAACAGCACTGCGGCGAGAACGATTGATTACCTATCCAAGTCTCGGTCGAGAAGGGTTTCTAAATCCTTGTTGGTCGAGGTCATCTCATCAGCCTTCTCGGCGAAGTGAGGTGTTACAGTTATTACATTCGGCACATGGAAAGCCGAATTTGATATTGAACTTCGTAAGAATAGTAACCTTGTCTTCAGGTTCGAGAGCCCAAGAGGCCGAGACGTGTTCCTTTCTCGGCCGCAATCGCAAGACGCAGAAGTCAGTAGCGCGACCCAACGCAACATCAACAAATTTACTCCTCGGCCGAGCTCGGCCGACGAGTTGGCACGCCCCGCAATCACCGAAGGACGTAGTTAGCTTATAGATTACTCGGCCTGCGCGCCACGTAGGCTTTGTAGTTTCTAGGGTCAACAGAACCCAAGACAAAGAATCGGCCGCGAGTCAACCCGTCAAGTTGAGCGAGTTGGGGAAGGAGATCAAGGCAGCGATGCAGAAGAGGAAGGAGGAGAAAGAGGGGGATTTTTTTAGCGGAGTGGCGGAGGAAGTTAGGGAGATCGAGTGGCCGGCGTTCGCTAAGGTGTTGGGAACCACCGGGGTGGTGCTCGGCGTCATTTCCGGCTCCAGCGTCGTTTTGCTCACTGTCAATGCTGTTTTGGCCGAGTTTTCCGATCAGGTTTTTGCCGGGAGAGGGGTTCAGGATTTTTTCAGCTGAGAGAGAGAGAGAGAAGTGATAATGTTGGGCTTCTGGGCCCACTATCATACCCGGGCCGGCTCATATGTGTTGTGTTGTGTTGTCTTCATGGAAGAGAGACAAACTGTACATCATGTAATGGAAACCCATTTCTTTGTGTTTCATAAAATGACGGGATTGAATTTAATTTTTTTTTAAATTACAAGCGACATTCCTACTCCAAACTATACGAAAAGAAGGAGAATTTGATTTCCGACCGAATGTGTTAAACCAAGTAGCATTGCATCAAAATTTGCCAAGATTACGGAGATAAAAATCATACTTTATCCTTCAAAATTTGTCAAACTTTATGAATTTGTGTTTTCCCCCGAAATTTTAACCAATGTAAGAAAAACATAATTAAATAGGGTACAAATACAATCATATTTCAGTACAATAGTTGTAACTTGTTAACTATTCTACTACCCTGATCAACCACATCTCTAGCACCTGCTACACTTAAAAACACATTTAACAAGTTCGAGACGACGAAACAAAGGTGGTGGAAGAGCATAGAAATGGAGACTTATCATTCATTCACTCCCGCCAGCGGGGCCGACCAGGACTCCTTGAGCAGTCCCTTCTTTCCGAGCACTATCATCTTTCTCCTCGCCCTGCTCCTTCCGTATCCTGATCTTGTACTTAGCCTCAAAATCAGAGATTTCCTTTTTCTTCTTTTCCAATGCCTCGTTCAGCCTAGCTATAACCTCCTCAATCCCCTCTTTGTTGCGCTGCACAGCAGGCAGAACCTCCTTGATGGTTCTCTCCACTAGAACACCTCCGATCATCCGGTAGCATCGCCTGGATGGATCAAGTGGCTGGATGGCATTGATCACCAACGAGTGCTCGCTTGCTTCCATCTCTAGCTCTGTGATTTTCGAGTAAATTTGGTTGAGTTCAGACCTCATAGCAGCAAACTTATTTGCAACTGCTTGTTCATTTACATATTCCTTCTGATCTTCAGCTTTACTAGTGGCCATGGTTCCCTACAAATGATGGAGCAAACAGTATTCAAGAGTAGGAAGAATCCACATAAACATAAATTCGCTAGCTAAGATAGATCACAACAAAAAGGCATACAGTATATTGCATTTAGTACAAACCGTATAGCTTCTGCTTCCTGGTTCTCGCAATGTAAGCAATTTATTTTAAAAAAGGAGAGTGCTATTCACATACCCACTTTAATTCTCACACACCCTTATTAACTTTTGGCCATTGATCTTCTTCAATTGATTCAATCTGATGACCCGAAATTCAAAGAAGGGTGTGTGAGAAGTAAAAATGGAATAGCACTACCCTAAAAAAAAACAAACACAATTTTGCAGCTGCATCTACCATTAGTCATAGACAAAGTTCATATGCTCCTTGGAGCAAACTCGCATTATTTCTATTGACCAAAAAAAAAAAAAAAACTCGCATTATTTCATTTAGGGAAAAAATTCAACCTTAAAGCTTGTTGCAACCAGGTAACAATTTTTCAACATGATAGACAACAAACAAGTTCATCTAGTATGAGTTTATTCATTCCCCAACAAAAAATGAAAAAGGAAGAAGAGCCTTATTCTAGTTGTAACTATAATTGGTTTGACTATGATACACACCAATTATTTTAATAAAGTGTTATCGTTTCTTCTCAAAAAAATTGGTGTGACTATGATACTATCCCCTCCCCAACTAAGGATGCAAAATGACTGCATCCCTCCGGGGCTATTTCTGGTTGTTAACTCATCTTTGTCTAGCACACTTGCACTGCATAAACACATAAGTAAAATCTGTTGTCAACTTATCGTAAACTCCTTGACCAAATGTTGTTATCTGACGGACACAATATGTGGTAGGTAGCAGTTAATTGAAGAGAAAACATTTAAGTAATCAATTGATTCTGTGAATCTTCTATAGTATGGTTGCATTAAATATGCACATGCACAGAATCTGCTGTTAGCAACTCCTCTGACCATATGAGTTTTTTCCAAATGTTAAATATCAAGGCAAACACTGGCCTGGACGAGTATCTCTACTATGTTTGATACATTGAGTTGCACCCTTTGGACCTTTGAATATGTCCTCCGGTAACAACTCAACTAGAAATTTGAGTCTTCAAATGAGTCTATCTTAACGCTAAAGTATCTTGAACTGGAATTCGAAGATGTACGTAATAACCAGAATAAAAAATGTTTCAAAAATAATTGATTCAAGATAATTTATTAACAAACAGTTCTTTACTACATCTAAAAGCATCGAGATTACTAATCTATTCCTATATCTCTACCTAGATCAAAATGAAGCTGGAATAGGTTAAAACTTTAGTTTCGTCTTGAAGAATAAGTTTCCCTTCCCTGTCCTATGATTTTTCTTCAACACACTAAGACCCCCTATTCATACTGAAATTGACGCAGCGTGAGATATTAACAGGCATTGGTTGTTGAATATCTTTAAATTTTTCAAGAACTTGAAGAAATTTTATGATTTCGATTGGATAGTTTGTTATAAATTCACATATAATAGCTTGGCTTAGTACCAACTTCCCAATATTTACATGTTTAATGCGAAAAATGTTGTTTCTTTGTCTACTTTATGCAGTTACAGGAAGACGAATCCAGAATCGGAGTTCGAATCGAATACAACAAGAAAAACCTAAGCTATTTCTGCAGATACTGACGAGTGATGAACATCTTAATATTCCAACTTAAACAGAAAATCGCAGCTACCCAAGTACCCAAACACTCCCTTTTCTCCGTGCTCTTGGCCCAGTTAAACCCAAGCTGTTATTAATTTTGATTAAATTTACAGAAATCAGAGGTTTCGAAACCCTATGATCGTACTTCAAATTAAAGAACACGAAGTTAACACCCATGGCGAAGGAAGCGTACCTGACTGGTGGCGCGGAGGAACTGTTGAGAAGACGGAGGGAGAGACGGTGGCTCTGTGGACTATAGAGAGAGTGGCAGCGACGGAGGAAGCGAATGACGAAGCTGCTCAACCGCTGTTTGACACAGCGAGTATTTTACTTTGGTTTTTTGGCGGAATTACACAAATACCCTGTGTAGTTTACTAATTTTTCACTTTCATCCTTATGTTTGTTGCATTTTCATTCCCTCTTGTCCATTCCAGTTAGCACTGTTAGTCCGTGAAATTTTTTATGGGCAACCGTGGGCACTAAGTCACGTGTTATAATAAGGGAAGACGACAAAGTTGATATATCATATTTATAAGTATTAACTGAAAAATAAACTAACGATTAAAATTTGAGTAGAATAATAACGTCACGTGATCGTGTTTCGAGTATGTAGAAAAATCACTCACTCAGTCCAATTCATCAAATAAGAAAAGACTTGATGTCATCGAGGATATAGTTTCATGTCTCTATAGCACTTACCAGGATTTGAGCGTCACGGAGGATATCCTAGGTTATATCTAGTTAGAAAACCAAATCAATGAACAAGAAAGATCATGGACATGAAATAGATTATTTATTACATTATATCCATCTAAAAGGCCCACAAAAATAAATGAAAATGATATTCAAACCTAGTAACTTAATAAAAGCACAAAATATAAATTTATACGCATTTGTCAAATTACAATTAGTATCTATTAAGAGAAAAGATTTTTGAATTTATCGTTATTGAAACCTAACAAAATTCCACATGACAAGTCCTTTTCAAACCAATTTTGAACATGGAAAGTTGCTTGTGTATCTCCTGCTTATGTTGGTGAAAAAGGTAAGAGACCTCGCAACAATACAAAGTCATTTTCTTGATAACAGTCTCGATTATACAAACTTGTTTCGGATAATTAGAATTTGAGTAAAATAATAACGTCACGTGACCGTGTTTTGGATTTTGTAGAAAAATCATTTACTCAGTCTAATTCATCAAATAAGAAAAGACTTGATGTCACCGAGGATATAGTTTCATGTCTCTATAGCACTTACCAGGATTTGAGCGTCACGGAAGATATCCTACGTTATATCTAGTTAGAAAACCAAATCAATGAACAAGAAAGATCATGGACATGAAATAGATTATTTATTACATTATATCCATCTAAAAGGCCCACAAAAATAAATGAAAGTGATATTCAAACCCTAGTAACTTAATAAAAGCACAAAATATAAGTTTATACGCATTTGTCAAACTGCAATTAATCTTTATTAAGAGAAATGGTTTTTGAATTCATCGTTACTGAAACATAACAAAATTCCACATGACAAGTCCTTTTCAAACCAATTTTGAACATGGAAAGTTGCTTGTGTACCTCCTGCTTATGTTGGTGAAGAAGGTAAGAGACCTCGCAACAATACAAAGTCATTCTCTTCATAACAGTCTCGATTATACAAACTTGTTTCGGATAATTAGAATTTGAGTAAAATAATAACGTCACGTGACCGTGTTTTGGATTTTGCAGAAAAATCATTCACTCAGTCTAATTCATCAAATAAGAAAAGGCTTGGATGTCACCGAGTATATATTTTCATGTCTCTATAACACTCATCAAGATTTGAGCGTCACGGAGGATAAATCCTAGGTTATATCTAATTAGAAAACCAAATTAATGAACAAGAAAGATCATGGACATGAAACAGATTATTTATCACTTTGTATCCATCTTAAAGGCTCACAAAAAGAAATGAAAGTGATATTCAAACTCTAGTAACTTAATAAAAACACGAAATATAAGTTTATACGCATTTTTCAAACTGCAATTAGTCTCTATTAAGAGGAATCGTTTTTGAACTCGTCATTCCTGAAACCTAACAAATTCCACACAACAAGTCCCTTCGAACCAATTTTGGACATGGAAAGTTGCTTGTGTATCTCCTGCTTAGGTTGGCGAAGAAGGTAAGACCTTGTAACAACACAAATAGTCATTTTCTTCGTAACAGTCTCGATTATACAAACTTCTTGTTAACGTCTTCAATTCAGGAGCAGAGATGATAAAGTCCTGACCATCTTTTGGGAAATATCCCCTTACTTCCAAATCTTCGACGACGGGGCAGTTAGAGACGAGCTTTCTGGTTGATGCAATACCTGTAGGATTCACACAGAGGCACTTGAGACTTGGGAAACAAACTGATGCAGGGGAATCATAGGTAATTCAATTGAGTCCACCTTCATAACCAAGAGTGTTTTGCTCGTGAAAACGCTTTTAGGCATTGTGAACTCTAACTTCCCGACGTTATAAAGTTCAAAAACTTAAAAGCAGAGATCAAGTTCAACAAAATCTTACACGGTGGAGAAATATTTCTTTTGAGAAAACAGTGTTCGTGAATCTTGGCATCTCTTTTCGGTTGTGCAACATGTTCATCGTCTAAATTGGGGTTTGATTTTGTTGCCGATTCATCAGCTGTGTAGCTTATGTCTTAGTCTCTTAATCGCCTTCAAGGCTCGTACCGTCAACCGATGGAGACTTGAAGAGAAGAGTGATTGGGCTAAGGAGGGAACCTCCCGAGAGAAAAAGTAAACGATGGAGATTTCATCCATACTTAATGAAACATTAAACGATAGTGCTTTCATTTATAATTCATCAAACATCAAACAATAGTTCTTTCATTCATAATTCACGGTAAAAAAAGACCGGCACAAACTACATCTGTTCAACACGAGTTTTCATATTATGAAAACGTAGCATAATAGCTTCATTATCAATACAACCAAAAACATCTTTTTCAATATAAATAACCAAACTATCCCTCAACCATTGATTTCCCATTCTGTTGCAGACTGAACCATCACCAACTTTCATGGCAGAAAATGCTCTCTCCACTGACGCAGTTGCAACCGGCAAAACCAAAGCAAGTGTAATGAGCAAATACACATAATTAAATTTTCGATGCATCCCTTTCTCCAACATTTTTTTTGCAAGATTACTAATCCCTTGCAATTGAGAAAAATCACTACTCGAACGCATATATTGAATATAAAGCCCAAGCTGACCTTCAAGTGCAAATAGGTCTTCATCGGAAAAATCTTGAGGATAAAATTGAGCAAGACGAAGTAGCTTTTGTTTGTCAAAAGCTATGAAAAAATTATCCGGATTCAAACATGCCAAACAAACAAGTAACTCAGTATTCACCTCATTGAAGTGATCATCCAACTCCGTAAGTTGCTCGTCAATGACACAAAAAAAGACCTCTGCATAAAATTGCCGGTTTGTCTTTAATGGAGCATTACGCCGTGACCTCCCTTGAACTACACATGTCTCATCCAAGCTAGGATTTTCAATATCATGCTTGATACAAAAAGAAGATACTTTATCAACCAAAAGATCAAACTCGCTATTCCTCATGTGGCGCAGTTGTTGCTTACATGATTTGACTAAATCCATTGCAACCACAATCTCTTTATCTTTGTTTTGTAATGCAAGTGACAAAACATTTGTGACTTCCAAAATTGATCTCATAAAAAAGAGGTGAAAAACAAACTCAAAAGAGAGTATTCCTTTCAATGTCCTACATGCTTCACCAACAATATCAATGTCGCAATCATCAACAATCAATTCAAGAACTTTTACCACAGACGAGAACATGGAAATCAAATTGAGCAATACACCATAATATGAGTTCCAATTTGCATCGCCGGTATGTTTGAGACTAGTTTCTTGATTCATGCCTCTCTCCGTTAGAAAATCATTTCCAAAAGCTTCCTTAAGCTCTTTATGGAGTTGCTCTCCAAGTGCATCAGGACGGTGACAAAATGCTCCAACAAGATTAATTACACTAATTATATATGTGAAAAAACTGGCTATTTCAACATTCTTCTTTGCTGCCGCAACAAGACATATTTCAAGATTTTGAGCAAAACAATGAACATAAAATGCACAAGGTTGTTTACTCATAATCTTTGTTTTAAGGTCACTGAACTCTTCTTTCATGTTACTAGTTCCATCATAACTTTGTCCACGTAGCTTGGAAAAACTTAATTTGTTGAAAGAAAAGAATGAGTCAATGGTCTCCTTCAGATTACTTGAAGTGATGTCGCCAACAAGTTGGACTCCCACAAACCTTTCAATTACTTCCCCTTTCTTGTCGACATAGCGCAACACAATTGCAATTTGATCCAATGTCGAAAAATCACGAGATTCACCCACCAATATAGAAAAGAATCTATCTTTTACGTCACTCATGATAGCATCGATGGTTTCAATGGCACATGAATTGACAAGATTCTTTTGACCTGAGGGAGCTAATAAGTTGAGATCCTTCGGAGCATTTTCCAACACAACCTGCTTAACTTTCTCATTGTGATCGGCAATAAATTGGAAGAGCTCCAAATAATTTCCCCTATTGCTTGAAGTGACACTATCACAATAATCAAAGAAATAAAGATCTTGTCGCAACAAAAACTTAATGCAATTGATTGAGACATTCAAACAAGTGTCATAAGCCACACGATCTTGGTCTGACTGATTGATAACGACATTCTTTTGATTCACTAGATTCACATCCGCTTCATAATCCGAACTTGAACTACCCACATTATCTGAACTAACCGTCGATGGTTTTCGCTTATAATATCGTTCCATAATTCTACACATGTCAATTGATCGAAACAAAAACTCATATCAATTAATGAAAGACACCAACTCTTTAGCACTTGACCAAAATAACAGCACAAGCCAATTAATCAAAACACAAAACCCATAACAATTAACCAAAATGAAACTCGTAATTAATTAATTAAGCTAACAAGCAATACCACTCCATATACAGAGAAGATACATTCAGTCCGAAATTGAAATTTGACACTGAGGAGGTGAAGGAAACATCCAAGAAGGTGAAAGAAAGCGTACCTGATTGACTGCTGCCGCAAAAAAAAAAACTTCTGACAAGAGCGGGGGAGGGAGACGGTGGCTCCGTCGACTGTACTAATACTGTAGGGTCGCAGCGACGCTGGAAGTGAAAGACGTGGTGAGGCGAATATGGGTGGACTAAACCCTAAACTCGTGCGGGTTGGAACTTGGAAGGCAAGCCCAAAGCTAGCCCACCATCGCAATTTGTTAAACATTTTCAATCTCTTTTTACCCAGTAAATCACATTAATTGTTCTTTTAAAATACAAATCACACTAAACTAATCACATTAATTCTTCTTTTAAAAAACAAATCACACTAAACTAATCACATTAATTCTTCTTTTAAAATATGTATATGAAAATTATCTCTCTGTTAACAAAGTATTAACAATTTTTTTTTTGTCAACCGAAATATGTTATAAAAACTATTTAATCTCCTATCATAAAAAAAAAATTAAGAACAATAATGTAATTTTATAAAAGCAATTATTTATTTATTTATTTAAATCTCAGCTACATGAGTTTAGCGTATATCTAATATTAAAAAAAAATGAAAAACAAAGACATCTCTCCTCACTCCACTCCCAACTTATCATTTTAGAAACAAAAATAAACATAATGTTCACACCCGAGGTAAAAACAAATAAACATATGTAGCTGAGATTTAAATAAAAAACTAAAATGAAAAACAAAAATAAACATAATGTAGCTGAGATTTAAATAAACATATGCTAGTAAAAACAAATAAAAAGTATTAGTGATTTTTTAATAGAAAAACTAAATTTTAAAAATGAGAGAGAAAGAAAAGGCTCGGTTAAAAGGTGAAAACTCGAAACTACCCCAATAGACTCCTTCCTTTGTTCAAGTCGTTGCACTTCCTCGCTTTCGAACCCACGCAAATCCGCCACACCTCCTCTCCCCCCTTCTTCTCACTCAACTATCGTGCTCCCATATAGCTTCGAAACGCAACAAGTTCAAGCGCCCAATCGCCATCGCCGCCATCCTAATCCGGATTCCGCTACTCACTTGTTACGATTTACCAAATCAAACAAATTCCAGTCCAAGTTTGCAAAACAGAGCTTATAGATATTTGAGATTGCGAAGGAAGCTCCGCCGACGCTTGCCGCCAAATAAACCCGATACAATTCATAAGGTATCGGTTTCTTTCTAAATATTGATTTTTTTTTTCAGTTAATGTCGATTGTTTAATTTTGTTATTGCTGATTAGGGTTTTTCAGTTTTCATATGTTCATGTAAAAATCGTGTTCTGTTTATTTTTCGAAATTAAGTGAAATTGTCAGAATTTGATGCTTTTTCCTTCGTTATGTTATCACTTTGCCAAGCACACCGGATATTTTGAACTTAATACTTTACAATGTTCTTGGGTTTTTGGAAAGTTATATCGGTTGTTTATGTGGTTTGATTTCTTTGATTTTCGATATTCCAGTGGTGGAGTTTCGCAGTTTAGTGTGTTGCAAATGGAAGTGGAGTACGATCGGGCTGACTCTCCAATGAGGGAGCACCAGGATGAGGGAACAAATGATGATTTAGACGAGAATGGGGCTGACAAATCAAGCAGGCACCGGAGCAAGGATAGGAAGAAGAGTAGCCGAGGGGAAGAGAAGGATGCCAGAAGTAAAGACCGAGAGCAGTCGAGGAGTGATGTTGTGAAGGAAAGAGAAAAAGAATATAAAGATTTGGAAAAGGATCGAGTATATGGCAGGGAAAGGAGGAAGGATGATAGAGATGACCGGTATAAGGATAAGAGTAGAGATAATAAGGTGAAGGAGAAAGATTATGATCGAGAGAGTCATAGAGAAAAGGAGCATGATAGGGGGAAAGATAAAAAGGACAGAGGGAAGGAAAAAGAGCGGGAGAAGGAGAGAGAGGCAGAGAAGGATAGTGATCGAGGACGAGAGAAAGAGAGGGGGAATAGGGATAAGGACAGGGAAAGGGAAAAGGAAAGGGACCGAGCAAAAGAAAAGGAAAGAGAAAAAGAGAGAGAAAAACATAAAGATCGAGAGAAAGGGAGGGAAAGCTATAAAGATACCGATAGGGAGAGGGTGAAAGACAAGTACAGGGAAAAAGAGAGGGAGGTGGATCAAGATAAGGATAAATCAAGAGACAGAGGAAGCAGGAGAAGCGTTGAAAGAGATGATAAATTGAAGCTAAATGGTGATGATAACAGGGATAAAGACATTCTTAAGCAAGGGAAGGTTTCCCATAATGCTGAGGATGAACGGCATGCTGATGGCTTATCAAGTGGAACACATCTATCAGCATCGGAGCTTGAGGAACGCATCTTGAAGTAAGTACAGCTTCATTTATGTTTTCTTTATGCCATATTTGATTTATGTTATCAACCTATTTTATCTTTTGAATTCCGCTTCATATCCCATTTTGCATTAAGCATTATTGCATCTCATTGTTCTTTATTGGGAACTGAAGAAGTTGGATTTTGGTGCATTCAAAGGAATCATATAAAAGTTATCCTATGGGCAACCTGAACTTGTCTGTGATATACAATATGCATAATATTCTTGGGCTATGTGCTTCGAAGTTAATAGTAAGCAGAATGAAATATGCAAAAGCATACTGGGTGTTTAAAAAAAAAAGTTGAATCAACATCTCCCGAAGGATGAAAACAATTCATTGTTATCCATTTGGTTTATTGTGTCAAAGTAAATGGCATCATTTGAAGAGAAAGATGATTGTAGTATGTTAGCAGTGTTCTCTTTGAACCAACTATCAATTAATTATTGACAAATTAGCTTGGTATACTATATCTTGTGATTTTATGCCGGTAGGTATTCGTTATCCTAATATTGCTTGCAATTTACTGAGGAGTGACTTTATTCTTCACACAACCTCAGTTATAACTATGGTTGTACAGTTTGCTGAGGAGTTATTTGTGCTCGACACAATTGTGGTTACACTATGGCGGTTCGGATATTTTATTTTATTTTATTTTTTGCATTCTTTTTTCTGGATTTGCTGCCTTTTATTTTGAATGTAGCCAAGGTTCTAGTAGGCGCTAGTCGGTTGACAGCTAGGCGTCTACATGGGGCCTAGGCCTTTTTTTTTAATTTTTATTAAATTTATTATATAAATTATAATTAAATATGTACTTATAATTAAATAAATACATAACTGTATTGGGATACATAAGTTGTAAAATAGAATGACATATAGATTATAAAGTATTAGAACATATTGAAAACATGGGAAGAAGCATATAATGAGTGTTTATCCAAGTATTCAACAAGTTTCTTACAATTTATTGAAAAAAATAAAATGCAAAATGAAAGTTATCTATTTTTTGTCTAAGTGAGAGCCGTGACTTAGGCGGGCTAGGCGTCCATTTTTAATTTTCAAACGCCTAGTGGTTAATCGGGGCGATGGCCAGCCCCCCAGAGTGGGTATTGTTCTTTCTGAATTTTTCAACGTTCAATTACATGGGGTCTACTTAAATCTAATTTGAACACACAAATATCATAACACTCTAGCAGATGGTGGCAATACAATTATATTGAGTTGCATACATAGATGTACGTAAACACTTATTTTAAGGACATTGCCATGTGTAACATGTCTATATTTCTTTGCATGGTGCTACAATTAGTTATATTGGGTTTGCTTTTTTCTCAGGACAAAGGAAGAGAGATTAAAGAAGAAAACAGAAGATGTTCCTGAGGTTTTAGCATGGGTTAGTAAGAGTCGTAAGATCGAGGAGAAAAGGAATGCAGAAAAGCAGAAAGCTTTACAGCTTTCTAAGATTTTCGAGGAACAGGTCAGTTTGATAGTGTTCCTTTTGTATTTTGTTTACAGCTTCTTGATTTTATAACTACCATTCATATAATTTTAATTTCTCAGGACAATATTGGTCAAGGAGAAAGTGAAGATGAGGAGACAGCCCAGGATCCCACTCGTGAGATTCCTTCTCACTTGAGATTTTTTTTTTAATATTTCGTAATAGAAGCTAAGGGTCTTTGGGACATCAACAGGAATTTGAATTTAGTTATCGTTTCATTTTATATTTGAGAACATACGGTATGTGGCGCTATGGCTAAGTTAGAATGCATATATTATGTTAGAACTTGTAGAGTTATGGAATTTGTTTTACGCCTGAGCACGAAATAAAAAGTACATCAACCTTGAGGTCTTGTGTCTGTATGCCTCATTGCCTCTAGAGGTTTGATTCAGTATTCTGACAATATGCACCTGCTCTTGATATATGGTTTCTATATCTTTAACTGTGACCCAACAGTTGCAAGTTGTGGGGTCTAATATTGTTGATAGTACTTTTAGAGTTTGGTTCACATTTTCAGTTGAGGTGTCAATACTGTCTGAATGACTTAGTTACAATCTATGACGTTTTTTTTCTGTGTTTATTGGTTTTTTGATATCACCTTACTCTGAATACCTGTTTACAGATGATCTAGCTGGTGTTAAAGTTCTTCATGGCCTTGACAAAGTAATGGAAGGCGGGGCAGTTGTTTTAACACTCAAAGATCAGAATATTCTAGCTGATGGTGACATTAATGAAGGTAAAGAAGTTTTGAGTTACTTTGTTTTTTTTCACGGCCCACAGCCTCTTGTAGGCATGCCATGGATGTTTTAATTTTATACTGTTTAATAGAGGTTTTTGTTTCAATGTAACAGACATTGATATGCTTGAGAATGTGGAAATTGGAGAGCAGAAGCAGCGAGACGATGCTTACAAGGCAGCAAAGAAGAAAAGGGGGGCTTATGTCGATAAGTATGTTAACCATAATTATAAAGTGTAATAAAAATTTGATTTGCCAAAAGCAACTTAATTATTGGGTGACATTGTCTATTCTAACCATCTCCTATAATCTGGATTTTTTTCACATCTCATTGCCGACATTGGTTGGTATTAACGACATGTATGTGTTATGGTGCATCAGGTTTAATGACGACCCTGGCACCGAGAAGAAAATGCTTCCACAGTATGATGATCCAACCCCGGATGAGGTGAATATATTATTATCTCCCCTACATTTTACCTCACAACCCAGTGTTTTCCCTTGTTCATGTACATTTGTTTGAAACATTGGTCAGGGAACATGGTTTTAATATGTTAATTTATGTTTATTTTCAGGGCTTAACTTTAGATGAAAGAGGACGCTTTACTGGCGAAGCAGAAAAGAAACTTGAAGAGGTATTATTTTCTTTCTCATCATAATTTGTGAGCGGTAATAAAAAGGAGGATAGGACTTCAGGGCATTTGCTGCGGTGAATTGAAATGGTGTTCTAATAGGTGTTGCTTTCATTGTTTTCTGTCTTTCTTTTTTTTTTTTTTTGGTTCCCTATCTTTTGAGTTGTGATCAATTGAAGTTTGTAGTGCAATCTTACTGCTTTTAGATAAAGGCAAAGAAATACAAAAGAAATTGAAAAGACTAACAGTGGCTTTACTTCTTTCTGCTAGCTACGTAAGAGGATACAGGGTGTTCCCACGAAGGACCGCTTTGAAGATCTCAACATGTCTGGAAAGATCTCATCTGATTTCTATACTCAAGATGAAATGCTTCAGTTTAAAAAACCTAAGAAAAAGAAATCCTTGCGGAAGAGGGAGAAGCTAGACTTAGATGCCCTTGAAGCAGAAGCAGTATCTGCAGGGTTGGGTGTTGAAGACCTTGGTTCTAGGAATGATGCAAAGAGGCGGGCCAGTAAAGAGGAGCAAGAAAGATTGGAAGCTGAAAGGAGAAATAGTGCATACCAGCTGGCTTATGCTAGAGCAGACGAGGCATCTAAATCATTGCGACTGGAACAAACTCTTTCTGTTAAACGAGAGGAAGATGAAAATCCTGTTTTCGCAGATGATGACGATGATCTGTATAAATCCTTAGAGAAAGCAAGGAAATTGGCTCTTAAAAAGAAAGAGGAAGAAAAAACTGTATCTGGTCCACAAGCGATTGCTCTCCTTGCCACCACCACTGCCAGCAGTCAGACTGCAGATGATCAAATCCCCTCAACTGGAGAGTCACAGGATAACAAGGTTGTCTTCACTGAGATGGAAGAGTTTGTCTGGGGCCTCCAGCTTGATGAAGGTATCTTCTATCTTTGTGTTTTTGCTTTTATTAATCAACCTTAGGGTATTGTTTAATTGATTTTCTATTGGCTGAGGGTGGGAGTGCTTCCCTTTCCCAGCTTAGACATCATATTATAATGGTCATCATCTTATAGTTAGCTGGTGACCATCTTCCTATTCCACCAAATTCTGGTTCGTTAATTATCAATGTCCCATGGAGCGGTATAATGTTGCTCCTGCTGCTTTTTACATGCCAATTAGATCTTTGTTTTTCTGCTGTAAATTTGTTTAATGGTGTGTTAAATTATGAGCCTTCTGCAAGCTTTACAATGTTATTCTCTAGGAGGTTTTGATTATAACCTTCTAAACTTGTGGAAATTTTTTAATGTCCTGCCACTACATCACAGTTTCATCTATAATTAGAAAATGACTTTTATCCTTTGTTGTACTTTTTCAGAATCCCACAAGCCTGAAAGTGAAGATGTTTTTATGCAAGAAGATGAACCCGAAGTTCCCCATGAAGAAAAAATGGATGAACCTGGTGGATGGACTGAAGTTAATGATATGGATGAAGACAAACAGCCTGAGAATGAGGATAAGGACGAGGTAGTTCCTGATGAAACAATTCATGAAGTTGCAGTTGGGAAGGGCTTATCAGGTGTACTGAAGCTGCTTAAAGATCGAGGAACCCTTAAAGAAGGTATTGACTGGGGTGGCAGAAACATGGACAAGAAAAAGAGCAAACTTTTTGGTATTGTAGATGATGATGAGGAGGAGCAGCCAAAGGAGACCCATACATCACGTCAAAAAAAGGATGAACCAAGGGATACTCGTTCATCCTCTTCCAGCCATCAAAAGGATACTCGTGCACCTAAAGTCTATCAGGAAAAGGATATTCGCATTGAGAGAACCGATGAATTTGGCAGAACTGTAAGTACTTCTGTTCAGTTCCTTTACAGTTAATTGTTTTTATGGTTTGGCATGGTTACACTGTGGTGAATCTGGTCATAGAGTTATATTAGCCTTGGTCAATTGATAATTTTCTTATGCCTTTTACATGGGCTCAATTTTAGGTTTGGATGTGTAGTTTTTAAAAATGTGTAGTAGGGTTAGCGACATTCAATTTAAATATTCCTGTGCTTATTCTACAAAGAAGTTTTGTGTTTGGAAAGCTGTGGTGCATGCATTATTTTGTATGTTTTTATCTTTGCTTCATCAGTGATCAAGTAGTTTTATTATTATGCGCTGCTAACGTATTTCCTTGTTTTCACCAGTTGACACCCAAGGAAGCCTTTAGGATACTTTCTCATAAGTTCCATGGGAAGGGGCCTGGAAAGATGAAGCAAGAAAAGCGTATGAAGCAATACCAGGAAGAACTAAAGTTGAAGCAGATGAAGAGTTCAGATACACCATCACTGTCTGCGGAGAGGATGAGGGACACTCAAGCTCGCTTGCAGACACCATATCTTGTCCTCAGTGGCCATGTTAAACCAGGGTATGCTTTTCAATCATTTCATTCAACTCAGATTTTTGTTTTTGGTTTTGAATTAGTTATTGCTAGTTTCAATAGGATTTGACCAAGACAGCTCCAAACAAGAAAATCAGTATAGTGAGTAGGCTTGGAGTTGGTATATGTGAGATATTCAAATGTTAAAACGGTGCTTTACAACTTTAAGAAATGATTCAATTAATTCTCTAAATTTTTAAACACTTTTCTGAATGTCTTAATTTAAAGAATTGAATAAGAAACATGAGCTGTGGTATATGCTTCCCTGCTTTATCCTTTCTGTCTTTATTCAACATTAGAATTCCCAATTGATTTACCCTTTTCCCCCTTTGTTCTCATGCTTCCAGGCAAACTAGCGATCCCAGAAGTGGTTTTGCAACGGTTGAGAGGGATCTCCCAGGGGGCTTGACACCCATGCTTGGTGACAGAAAGGTGAGTGAACTCGTACAGTTCTTTGCCCTCGTTTCTTGATCTTGATCTATATAAAATGCTTCTAGGTGATATGTTACGTACTGTTGTCTTGCGTGCAGCAGGTGCTGATAGTTTGTAGTAAATATCGATTCATTCATTTGTGACGTTCTTTTCTCTCCCCTTTTTTTCCACTTATTTCCATAGAAAGAATAATTCTCTATTTTATGTTTTTTTCAGGTTGAACATTTCCTAGGGATAAAGCGCAAAGCAGAGCCTGAAAGTTCAGACACACCAAAGAGGCCTAAAACTTGAAGTTCACTTTGGTTGAATTCTGGAGTTGACCTTCAACATTTTCAATTTCTTCCGCTATTTGTTCGCTGCTACTGACCGTACATAAAACTTATTTTTGACAGAGCCGTGGAGAGAATTTTCGAGGTAGGCTCTGATGGTTTCGACAGTATTAAAAGAGATGTTATCTTATGTTGTGAGAACATACGTAAAACTATTTTTTCCTTGAACAGGGTGTTGTATTTGCCGTCCAAAGATTTCATTTGATCTGAGGTGTGACTGCACCTTGGGAGTTTAGACGAGAATATAATCGTGGGTTGGAGGTTTTTCTACTATGCATCAATGCATGCGATGAATTGTTCAATTGGACTGCTACATTTGCTTGTCTTAGACGACGAAAAATTATCGTATTTGACAGGAGAAAAATTAAGACTCGAGTCCTCCACAATCCTTCAAATACTTGATCCTGATTTTTTTTTAGTGCGACGAGAGCGTCTTGCATGCTAATCCTCTCTTCCGGCAATTCTGCACAACACGCTAGAGCTAATCTCATGACCGATGATACGCAATCTCTCCTGCTCCCGAAACCACCATCTTCCTCCGTCCCTAGTAAACCGGCATCCACGATTTCAACGAATGCATCATCCGAAAGTAATGAACTTGCAATCCATTGCTTTAAACTCGTTTCCCCAACAAACATCTCATCCGTTGGCTTCCGTTTTGTGAACGTCTCCATCAGTACAATGCCAAAACTGTACACATCCCCTCTTGTTGAAACAATTCCTTCCATCCCCAACTCTGCATAATTTAATTTACGTGAATTTAGTGATCAATAATACTATTTGTAAATAGTTGACACTCTCTAATACAAGTGGGTTCCACATATAACGGTAGGGCTCAATTCTATCAGAGAGTTCAACAAATATGTCCAGTTTTTGTGAGAGCGTAAACTTAGCATGTAGCACATCACCTGGAGCCATATACCCAACTGTGGCTAGGGTCATGGTTTGTGTCATGGAGTCTCCTTCACCTATGAGTTTCGCAATTCCAAAATCAGCAACATGAGCAACCATATCATCGTCCAGTAGTATATTGCTTGGTTTCACATCACAATGTACGATTGGTATCGAATAACCGTGATGAATGTATTCCAACGCGGATGCTGCGTCCGTCATTATGTTCAACCTGTGCAGAATACTCAACGGAGAGCTTTGAGAATACAACCAATTCTCAAGGCTCCCATTAGGCATGTATTGCAGTATGAGGGCTTTGAAATCAACTTGACTGCAGCAACTGATGATTTTGATGAGATTTCGGTGAAGAATTTGGCTCAGCACTTCACATTCACTGTCGAAACTCCTAAAAGCCCCTTCAAGCTGTAAATTGAAAACCTTTACAGCAACATTTCTCCCATCAGAAATTGTACCTTTATATATTGAGCCAAAACACCCCGTGCCAAGTAAGTTGCTTTCGTTGAATCCATTTGTCGCCCTTACAAGTTCTGCACGTGAAAATCTTTGCCAAAGAAGTTGAGGTAGCAAGGTAGTCTCTGTTACAACTTCCGCTTTCCTTTTCCTCCGTTGTATCAACATTGATGCAGAGGCCACTAGGAGCATTGCTGATACGATCCCTGGAATAATATATTTCAAGTTGGATGTGCTAGCTTTCTTTGAGTTCCGGTTAAGCGTGCTCTTTTTGCATCGTGGAACATGGAGTCGGGCTTCACCACAGAGCGCACCATTTGAGACATATGACAGCACAGAGAAGTTTTGGAATGGTCCGCCATTCGGAATTTCTCCTTCAAGTCTGTTGAAGGACAAATTTAGATACTTGAGATGCGAGAGTACTTCCAGAGACTTTGGAATCACTCCGGACAGATTATTTTTGGATAGATCGACGGATTCCAGGCTTACCAAGTCGCCAAATGAGCTCGGAATAGCGCCTTCTAAATTATTAGATTCCAATGAAAGATCAACCAAATCTTTAAGGCCCCCAATGCTGCCTGGTAAACCACCTGATAAATGGTTATTTGATACATGGAGAGAGATCACAACTTTCAGTTTTCCGATATCTTCCGAGAGAGATCCGTTCAGAAAATTGAATGACAAGTTTAGGTACAAGATATACTCAAGTCCCCACAAGGTAGACGGTATTGTGGAAGTCAGCAAATTGGACCCTAACGATAGACGTCTTAGAGCTCGGGCGAGGCTACTTAAGCAAGAAGGTATCGAACCAGAGAGTTGATTACCATCCAAGACTAATTCAGCTAGGTTTTCTAGTTGACAAATTTCAAATGGGATACCTCCTTCAAACTTGTTGCCACTCAAAAACAAACCTTGGAGACTCCCTAGTTTTCCCACAGAAGTTGGAATCAACCCACCCAATTTATTGTTTCTCAAATCTAAGACTAACAAGCTGCTCAAGTAGCCGATATCATTGGGAATGTTACCCCTCATGTTGCAGTTGCTTATAGCAACATAATGAATCGATGCAGAGAAATTCCGAAAGGAAAAAGGAAGTGTGGCATTCAATTGATTACCGCCCAAGAATAACGTCTTCAGTTTTCTAAGATTAACCAAACAAGAAAGAATGTTTAGTTCTGGAGTTGAAGTGTCAACCGTCAAATTGTTTCTGAATAAGCTGAGGTACTCAAGGTTTGGTAAGGTGCAGAGCTTGGTAGGAATGAGCCCGGAAAATGAGTTCCCGCCCATGTCTAGCCTCGCAAGCTTCGAAAGATTGGAGATAGAGTTGGGGATTATCCCACGGATTTTATTACCTCCAACATAAAGTTCTTGTAGGTTTGGAACACCGAGACCAATGTCTGCTGGGAGACTACCGGAGAGCTGATTCTCAGTAAGGTCAATTGCTGTCATCATGGACATATTGAAGATTGCGGATGGGATGGGACCGCTTAGATTATTAACTCCGAGAGTCAAAGCCTGTAGGTTTTGAAGATTACCAATCTCATCTGGTATAGTACCTGTCAAATTGTTGAAGCCAAAATAAATCTTGGTTATTTGAGTCAAGTTCCCAATACTTTTGGGTATGCCGCCATTGAAATTGTTGAAATCGAGTCCTAAGATGGATAACTCTTTGCATTGCCATAACTTGGATGGAAGTGGTCCATCAAACTGGTTGTGACCCAAAAGCAACCGCTGAATGCTAGAAAGATGCAGACATACATTGTCCGGAATACTAGCATTCAAGCTGTTTCCTGCTAGAGCCAAGAGAGTCAAGAAAGACATGTTGAAGATGGCCGCTGGAACAGGCCCCGTCAGGGCATTGGCTTGCACGTACAGCCTCTCCAGCTTCTCTATGGATCCAATCTCGTTTGGAATTTCTAATTACAAAAAAAGTGTGCAGAAATCAGTTCCCTGATCCAATAGTGCAACAAAAAGTCGAGTGCACTGTACATACCTTTGAAGTTGTTGAAGTCAAGGCGTATATCCTTAAGCATTGTTAAATTTCCTATTTCTCTTGGTATGCTGCCTGTTATGTGTGCCACCAAAAGAAGCAACAAAAATAAACAACCAAATCTTACAGATAAACGTTAAACATCTAACAAGATACTAAAATTTGGAATTGTTATCTCGTTTGTAAAATTTTCATCACACACTTCTACCTAGTGTAAAAGTTGGAGTGTCAATAACAGCTCCCTTAAATTTAATGATCGATCAACAATAGGTACCTGTTAGCTGGTTATATCTCAGATTAATTGCTTGTAGTGCAGACAAGTTGAAGATATCAGCAGGAATGGAACCGGAAAACTGATTGCCATACAAATTGAAGATTTGAAGTTTGGGTAAGGACCCGAACCACGAAGGAATGGTTCCCATAAAGTTGTTGAATCCAAAGTTAACCAACTTCAACCGGCGCAAACGAGCCAATTCCTGGGGGAAGGTACCATGGAAACTGTTATTCACAAAGTCCACCTTAACAAGAAACGAGAGGTTGCCTAGGTGGGGAGGAATGGTGCCGGTGAGACCCATGTAAGAGAGGTTCAGGGCTGCGACTCTGAGGTGGCGTGCGCCGCAAGTAACGCCAACCCAGTGGCAAATATTGGAGGCAGTTGTGGACCAGTTGGTGGTCAAGACGTTCTGAGGGTCACTGGTGATGTGGGATTTGAGAGAAAGGAGAGCAAATTGGTCTGTGGTGATATTACTGGTTTGTGCTTCCGCTGCTGCTGCTGCTGCGGCTATAGTGAAGAACAAGAGGAGACGATGAGTTCTCTCCATTTTGCACAGAAATGTGGAATTGTCCAACGCTTTTCGATTCAGACGAAGTGTTTGCACTCAAAATATACCCATTTTTACTTATTTGGACAATTTGGGTAAAATATGGTATTTGAAGGATTAATATGCAAGAAAGCTAACTTGGAAAGATATTTGGTTGCAAGTGGATGGGAGAGCTTTCGGGCAAGAATGTGTAATGAAAGAAGCTAGTTTGCTTCTTTTAATTGTTAGTTTATTACAAGTGGGAAAACATGTGCTAAAAACATGTGGTGGAGATGCAATTTCCCCTTTTAATATTGTTTCTACATGCAAGTTGGCAAAAGCAATGCAAGCTACCCAAGTAAGGAAATGCAAGCTGCCCAAGTTTCTTTCGGGCAAGTACAAAACCTCAGCAGGAGGGTTTCCTTCAGACCTCTATAAAAAGGAGCAGATGCACAATGATTATAGACACTCAAACAAACAAACAAATGCAAGCACAAACTCTGCTCAAACCAAATTTGCCAAAAGCCTTCTTTTATCTAGTTTATTAGCTCTGCTGCTCACTTGCGGTATCGATCTCATTTGTAGCTTTTATGTACTCATTTCCAGTCATATAAATTACAAGCAATCTGCAATTTTAGTCACTTTCCTCTGTCATTTATATTTCCAAGCAACCTTGTCATTTACATATTGTTCTATCTCTCCATATAAGTAAAGTCCTTATTTTTAAGGCAAACAAAGAACCTTAATTTGAGCAACTCCCACTCAAATGGTACAATCTCTTGATTTGAAGTCAAAAGGCGCAACCTCAATCATTCAAAATCCTGTCTACTAGCGGCATCTAGTAGTGGCACGCCCGCACCTACCAATCTCGTATGTGAAGTAAATCCCCAGCTTGCCCGCAAGGCGCCATGGCGAATTTAGGGAGCGAACACGAAGATCTGAAAATTAAACAGTTTGGATCATGAGAAAATATTGTTGAGTGGCTAATATACATTCATAGAAGGAGGTCATGTACCAAGCACAAGGCAATGCAGAATGCGCCAAGGAGTGGACCACATGATGGCAACATCAGAGACGAAACTGGCACGCGATTTGCTTTTTCCACGGCCCCCGAATGATGTCTCATCATTACATACCCATCTTTTCTATAGTTGTAAGATTGAACCAGTCAAAGAAAACATTAAGAACCAAAACTCAAAAATGTATGAGTAATGTTATTCATACCATGTTTTATACCACATTTATATATCATCTTAGGTGGCATCTGATGTGGACAACCACATCATGTGAAAAATTTGCAAAACCTAAGGACACGAAGGAGAAAGACTCCTCCTCGTATACCACAATCATCATTTAATTAACTAGTTTTTCTTAATTATTAGTTTATTAAATAATGAACTAAATTTCAAAATCTGATTAATTCAAATGATGTTGTTGTCCACATCAAATGTCACCTAAGGTGATATGAAAATGTGGTACAAAAACATAGTATGAATAACATTACTCAAAAGGTATACAAAAATTTCGAAGACCATTCTCCAACCGAAAGAGCTAAACCTAAACATAGCCTCATCCAAAATTGTAGCCTTATAATTATTTTATTTTTTTTAATTTTATGAACAAACGATATTATTTACACAAAGGGGAGGGGGTGAGCTTAGCCTCACAATGGGCTAGTAATAATGTGGCAAGAATCAAATTTAATACCTCTCACCTACAAGTGAAGGAGAATACTACTAGACCATAGTACTAAGTGGCATAAAAAATTATTTTTAAATGAACAATGTTAGGCCATAGTCATACGTCATCACAACCGAAGGGGCTAATCATAGCTCCTCAATAATAGACTTTGATTCAAAGGCAAGGAATCCATACATAAAGATATCACGAGGGTCTTTGCTGCCGAATCTCTTCCCTGCTGTTTTTCCAAATTAATCCTGCAGATACATATAATTCCGAAGAGAGAGAATGCGCTAGGGGACTACAGGGCATAATTAGTTCATTTAATTAAACTACCGTTGCATGTTTTCAAATCTAACCGTTGAATTTGAATTAATTATTGCAATTGAGGAATTGGGCCCTATAAAAAAAATTTTAATTTTTTTTATAAAATTAAAAAAAAAAAAGACTAAGGGGAGAGCTATTTTTGGCTAGCCTGATGCCCCTTTAATAGCCTGATGGACTCCATAAAATTATAGCCTAACCATCATTTGAATGCGAGTTTTTGAATAAATCTACTTATTTTTTTACTTTTGAACCTTTAACCATCTCCATTGAAGATGACATTAATGGTCAAGGTTGCAAAGGAAGCGTTGGCAGTGCCCTGTCAATTTCATATGAGAAATTGCCTTTCTCAAATGGTGCCCTGTCAATTTCATATGAGAAATTTTGCCCTTGTCCAAATCATACTAGGCAACTGATGGTGTTTTACGCGGCAAAATCTGGGCCGATTAGTCTCCAATATGGAGGTCGAACGGTGCATAGGTTTTCAACTTTTAAAATTAAAATAAAATACAAAATAAACGTTTAAAAATATATTTAGAAAAAAAAAATCAACATTTTCTTTAGCATAAATTATTTAATTATGCATTAAAAAAATTAATGTGAATAGTAATAGTCTGGAAAACTCTTAAACGGGTGAAGTTGAACTTCAGAATTGTATAGAGAACCAGCCAAAACCCAGACAACATAACGGGGCTCAAAGGTTAAATGGTCATGTTTTCACGTAAGAAAAACACTACCAGATTATGTTAGTTTTAACTTAAGAAGCGAGACAATTCGGTTCCACTGGTTAAAACTTGAAGCAGCCAGAAACCGAGGAATCAGCTCAGGGCTCGAAAGTCATGCTTTCGGCTTCCCGTCTCACGGACTCAAACAAGACAGAGGAGAGATACCTCTCCCCAAAGCTTGGAAATATCACCTACATTGCGTAGATGTGTATTAGCAGTTGATTAGAATGCTGATACATGGTCTATGCAACTGAATGGGAGTGATCCAACTTACAACAATGAGCTTTCCAGCATTTTCTGGTCTCTTGGCAATTTTAATTGCAGCGGCGGCAGCAGCTCCTGATGATATTCCCACCTGGAACAGATAATCAGACACTTGTAATTCAATACAGACGCTGCAACACGGTGATTCATCCTAGATATGGCACAAATTCGAATGTGATGGCTCTATATCAAAGATATTAACTCACTACTAGTTGTTTGTAGGTTAAGAACTTACAAGCAAACCCTCCTTATGTGCGAGAAGCTTTGCTGTTTCAATTGCTTCATCACTTGATATCTGCAACACATCACAGATTTAGTACACGGGCAGCAGTAATAGGCTAATAGCTGTTAGAAACAAACTAACAAGCTGTGTCTTTTCCTAAGTTCTTTGCAGAGAGTTAAAGGAACTCCAAATGAAAAATCAATGGCTGTGTTTACACCAGCTCACAGAAATTGTTGGCCATTCATACACTCGTCCATTAAAACACTACGAAAGACAATACATCCGGCTTGACTGCTGTTTCCATAAATGATTGTATCGCAAATAATAATATAACGATTTATGAAAAATGTCATGCACTTGAGTGATTAAGATTGATTAAGTAAAAAAACCTTTGAGCCTTACTTGAACAACTTCATCGATGATGTTGACTTCCAAAACACCCGGGATAAAACCAGCTCCTATTCCTTGGATCTTGTGGGGACCTTTACATTAGAAGGAGCACAATAATTAACATCAACAAAGTGCAAGCAAAAACTAGAATTGACAGTCATGTATAAAGTTATAAATATATAAGCTAAGTATGTATAAGATTGAGGGATAATTTACACCATGTATCGTAGAATTGGGGTTTAGGAAGAATTTTCACTCCAACAAACTTTTGAGTTAATCAATCAGAAGCCAACTAAAGTTGAAAGCCAGAAGCTACAGAAAATAAGAGTCAAAACATTCTCAGTAATAGAAGCAAGAGACTCATTCCACCGAAGTAGTAACTGAGTGTCCCTCAACGAAACTCCTCTCTATGCTACCAGTCACATCTGAGATCAGTACTCTCCAACTGTTTATTACAGCCCTATCTCCATCAGAAACCAAATTACATTCGCAAGGCCAAAAATCTCACATGAAATTACGAACAAAATTTTCTTTAAACTAGTGAAAAGGCCAGTAAATAGATTGCAGAGGCCAGATTATGCAAGGAATACAAATATTCTCAGAGCAGCAATGCAGTATAACTCACCAGGCTTTCCTCCAGTTAGGACTGGACTTTCAACCGGTTCCACACCATACAGCTAACATTAAGAAAGAAAAAGGAACACAATAAGACAAAGTAAAAGAGCATAAAAAACGCGAAGAAAGTACAGGCTATTGTTCAGATCTTCTTCAAAAGAAGCTCATAAACAAATTTACCAAAGAACTTTTTAGTTAACCTTTAAAATGCGAGCTAACCTTTATGTCAGGGTTCTTCTCCTTTAGAAACTTCCCTGCACCTGTTATAGTTCCACCTGTACCTATCCCAGAAACAAAAGCATCTACTTTCCCTCCCGAACCTTCCCATATCTCCGGTCCAGTCGTTTCATAATGTATCTACAGTAACAAAAATCGAATAACTTTTTCCAAGCACAATATACCCTTTGTTTTTCTGCAAGTTGCGCCAGCTTCATAACCTGTAGAATTGATTGAGTAGATACCTTAGGGTTGGCAGGATTTTCAAACTGCTGAAGAATGTAGGCGTTAGGTGTCTTTGCCAATATCTCTTCAGCCTTCTGAACAGCCCCTTTCATGCCCTTTGCAGGATCTGTGAGAACCAACTCAGCTCCAAAGGCCCGGAGGATGATTCTTCTTTCAAGACTCATTGAAGCAGGCATTGTAATGATAAGCCTGTAATGCTTAGCTGCTGCCATGAAGGCTAATCCTATCCCAGTATTACCACTTGTTGGCTCGATGAGGACACTCTTCATAAAACACCATCCAACCAAAAGTCAGATTCAATGAAGATCCGTGAGCTCACAATATTGGTGAAACCAATATTTTTAGTAGTTTTATGAAATGTAGACTATTATTACATGTTTGAAATTTTTTCTTAACACTTGTAATGCAAAAAATCCTCTCTAATTACACAGTCCACTCATGTTTTCAGCCAAAACATCCCATGAGAAAAGCATGGTTGCA